CCCCCCCCCCCCCCCCCCGCCAGCATGTTAGATGATCCCTGGGGGTGCAGACCCTGGGCCTCCTCTAGGGCTGGAGCCCCACTTCTGGTTAGTGAGTAGGGTTCACGTAGGGTCCCAGCTGCTGTCGCTCGCGGACACAAGAAGATGGAATGAAGGCCACTTGGACAAGGTGTGGTGATGGAGTCTTTAAACTCCAGCCGGTAGGGTGGTGGGGTGGCGTATGGTCACTCTTTCCTATGTGGCTTCGTTCAGCCCCAGGCTCTGTTAAAGGGTGTTCCAGATAGATAATTCACTGGAAGGGCTTGGAAGGTGCTGGGTTCCAGGGTAGGAACTCCTGTTTTCCCAGCAGCACTTGCTCCATGGGGTTCCGTCCCACATGGTGAGCACCTGTAGATTTTGGTGGGTTTCTATCTGGACGCTGCCTCTGGTTGTCCTTTGGGAGGCAGATTGGAAGATTTGGCCTGGCTTGGTCCAGCAGGAACTTGGGAGAGCAGTAGGGGCTGGTGTGAACCTGTGTTTATGTGTACATCCATCTGTGAGTGTCCCGGCCCCAGAGGTGTAGGGCCATTGTGGGTAATACCTGGGTTAAACAGACCTTATAGAGACCCTTGTCTGAGAAAAAGGAAGGTAAACAGGAAGATGGGGAGAAGAGGGCTGAGGGGGTTCTGTTAGTTTGGGGGTGCCCAGGAAGGATCCTCTGGATAAGATACTTCCAGCTGAGACCCAGAGGAAGAGGAGGGGTGGGTTGGGAAGGCATTTGAGGAAGCCTTGGATCAGGCAGAAGGGAGCAGAAGCCCACAGGGGCCTGGAGAGGGGCCAGCTGAGAGGGGCCTGTGTAGGAGAGGCCCGGCTGCAGGCCCTGGGGCCAGGCTGTGTCTTTGGGAAAGGCAGGGAGTGATTGAGAGAAAATGACTTCCCTTATTTAACCAGGAAGGCTCTTCCTCCCTCCCTCCCTCCCTCCCTTCCTCTTTCCTTTCCTCCCTTCCCTCCCTCCCTCTCTCCCTTCCTCTCTCTCTTTGCTCATTCACTTAGGATCTTTGAGAGCAGCCAGGAAGCTTGCTGATTAGGAACTCAGGTCCTGACCTGGCCTGCCTAGGTGGGGCTTATGCCTCCTGATGCCTCAGTTTCCCCAGCTACAAAGTACTGCTTACAGTGATGGCGAAGGTGCCCTGAATAAGTGTGCGTGGGGCCGCCATATGGGGGTGGGTGTTCAGCATCTTAGCATTCGTCAGGCCTGGACTCCAAACTTAGTGGTTATAGCAATCAAAGACTAGCGCCTGCCCACTCTGGGCTTACGTTGGCTACAGACAGGCAGCAGCCGGCTCCTAAGAGCATCACAGCACACAACATTCAGCAGTAAGAGCCCTGGAGAAAGAGTGCAGCAACTTTCTTGTGGTCTAGCTGGCTTCTCCCCTTCTAGCCTGCTCTATGGGATGCCTCCCCAGGCAGTAAGGGTCCTGGTTTCCATGAGCAGTGGGGCTCAGTGGCCATGAGGGTCTGGGTGGGGCTCAGGAGGGAGCACCCAGGGAGCTATGAAACTTTGCAGCAGGAGGAAGTCAGGGCAGGCACAGGGCCCTGGGACCACTGCCACCATTCCTTCCAAGCAGACTCCGGGTCTGACTGGTGGAGGCCTGCGGGAGGTGGCTGAGTGAGTTTCCATGGCAAGTAGGTTTCTCTGTGGGGAGAGGCGTGCGGGATGGATGTTGCTCCCTGCCTTGTGATTTATCGCTGCCACGGGCTTTGTCTCCAGGGTGAGGAAGTGAGGGGTCCTATTTAATAAAGCCACAATTTATATTTAATAACAACAGTGACAGTCCAGCATGGTCTCTGATTGAGCTGTGTGATTTATGCAGTTGCCCCAGAGACCCTGCTGGTAATGAGCTGGCCTTTGTCTGAGTGATGACTGTCTGTGACTGGGTCTCTGGCAGAGCCAGGGGGTCCTCAGGAGAGCCCTCCAGGTACCAAGACCCTGAGTAGGCAGGCGTGGTGGTGGGAGTGAGGGAGAAACAGAGGGACAGGCTTATGGGAGTCTGCCAGGAGATACCCTGGGAGGGGGCACTTGATGTCCGGCAAGTAGCTCTTCCCTCTGTCCTTTAGGGGCCACTGTGGAGACACCAGCCGGCCCTTTAAAGATCCTCTGGGCCTTCAGGTTATGCTGGGTGTTGGGGAATGTAAGGAGAGGAATGGGAAAAGCAGGCTGGGAGGGGCTACTGGCACGGTCAGCCTGGCTAGGTTGACATCTGATCCCCTTTCTCCAAGGGGGACACTGAGGTATCTGAAGGGAGGAAGGAACCCCACTTGACTTTGCAGTGGGCTCTGCATATCTACTCACTGAGAGACTGGAAAGGCAGTGTGGGCTTAGCCTGGAGCCAGCCAGAAAAGGATTGAAGGCTTAGGATCAAGTGCCTTTCAGCCTTATCCTGCATCCCTGGTCCGAAAGAAGACACAGGAAGGCTTCCGGAACCTTCCATGCTTCTTGCTGCTTAAGGTTTTTTTTTTGGTGTGTGTGTGTGTGTGTGTGTGTGTGTGTGTGTGTCTGTAGATGCTTGTGTTCAGGTGTGCAGGTGTTTATGTGTGTGTGTGTGCCCATGTGTGCATGTCCATGTGTGCCTGTATATGTACATGTATGTGTAGGCCAGAGGTCAACCCAGGTGTTCTTCAGGAGCTTGGACACTTGTTCTAGGAGACAGGGTCTCTCCTAGGGACCTGGAGCTTACCAGTCAGGCTAGTCTGATCCTGTCTCTACCTCCCCAGAGCTGGAATTACGTAGTATGTGCCACCCTGACCAATTTCTATCTGGGTTCTGGGGCTTGAACCCAAGTCTTTATGCTTACAAGGTGAGCACTTTACTGACCGAGCTGTCTCTCCTGCCTCAGCTTCAGATCTAAACTGGCTTATGTTCTTAGCTGGAAAGTTCTGGTTCGGCTGGGTCTAGGGGTTCAGTGATGCTCTCTCATAGGCTTTCTCCACCTCTCTCCTATTCTTTTCTTCAGTTCCGGACTCGGGTAGGTCAGGGGCTCCTGTGGGGGCCTCTGCAGATGCTCTGTCCCCAGGTGTGTCCCTCACAGCTGGGCCCCTCTGTGGGTGCTCCATCCTTGGGTGCGTCTGTCTGTGTGTGTGGGTGCGTGTGTAAATGTGAGCGTGTGTGTGCATGTGTGTGGGTATCTGTGTGCATGTGTTTATGCATGTGTGTGCATATATACGTACTTGTAGGACTTACATGTTCCCATGCACATGTGGGCACAAAGGTCAACTTTGAGTGTTGGTTTCGGTGTGGTTGAGAGCGTTCACCTTGTTTTTTGAGACAGGGTCTCTCATCAGCCTATGGCTTACCATTTAGATTAACTCTTTGGCCAAAGATCTTCCTGTCTCCACCCCCTGCCCCCAGCTCTGGACTTACACGCACATGCCACCACATCCAGTTTTTACATGGTTGCTGGGATTGAACTTGGTTCTTCCAGCTAGTGTGGGAAGCCCTTTACAGCCTGACCTATCTCCACTGCCCCATAAAACCAGCTTCCATGGCTGAGGTTGTGGGTGAACCGAGCCCCAGTTTCCTCACCTGTCAAACACAGATCTCTGCAGGGTGCTGCTCAGAGGCTGGTCAGGAGGGTGAGTAGAGCAGGTGCTGGGAAGGCTGCTGGGGTTGTTGAGCCCTCGAACCTCTGGAGCCTGGGAACTAAGTGTTCCTCTAGTTTCAAGGTTGAGCGTTTGTTACATTGCAAACAGCTGCAGGACTGAGCTGGGGAAGGAGGCTTTAGCTTGCTCTCTGGGGATCTCTAGACTTGCTTCTTCTCACAGAAGCCTCGGGGTGCAGGGAAATAAGGCAGAGTTAATTAAAGAGCTTGGGCTCTAACAGTAGGCCCCTCGGAAGATAGCTCTTGGCTGCCTGGTGGCTGGTGGCCGTGGCTGTGGCTGTGACTGTGGCCATGACTGGGCGCAGGGGCTCCCTTCCAGGTCGCCTCTCCAGGAGAGACTGCTGGCTCCCATGAAGTCCCTGCCTCTCCCCTCTTCTTCTCTTTAGATCTCATTGAAGTAGTCTTTGTAACTGTGTGGAGAGAGAGAGAGAGAGAGAGAGAGAGAGAGAGAGAGAGAGAGAGAGAGAGAATTGATTAGCCGATTAGCTTGCCTGAGTTCCTGTGGCCACGGATAGCCCAGCACTGATGTGCTGCTCTTGGTCCAATCAGCAGTGTCAGAATGGGCCCAGAGCACAGGTGGAGCTCCCTACCCCCAGCTCTCTGCAAAACTGTCTTGAGGAGGACACAGGAAAGGTGGGGATTATGGGAGGTTTAACTTTCAGGCCTGCACACACTGCCTCCTACTGGTTGCTTTTGGGAATCCAGAGCAGGTTAGGTCCTTTGATCCCCAGCCCTTCCATTGTCCCATTATAACTGGGGGTCTGGGGGTCACAGTCTAGTCAAGTCTGCAGCTGCCTTCCGTCCCTGGGCTCCTGGCAGGGTAGGGCCCTAGCATGCTCATCCCTCTGGTTCCCACTGAGCTCAGAGGCTGGCACCCAGGATGTGTTGTGCTAAGTGAATGCACGAACGAACGAGTGGATGGATAAGGAGGAGGGAGTCTAGCGCCTTCCTGGCTGCCCATCATCGAACTCCCTTGGAAAATTTCCCATTCTTTCCAGTCTGCCTAGCTCCAACCTGCTGGGATTCTGTCTGGCTTAACAACCCCAGAAGGGAGGGTGGGCAAGGGCACTCCCTCCCATGTTAACTTGAGGGTGGGGAAGAGGCTGGCCTGACGTCTTCACCTGCAGTGGATCCAGGAGGATGCTCCCCGCACATTAGCATGCTGAACTCACATCTCTCATAAGGTGTTAATTAAATTTCTTGGAAGTATATTGTCTGAAAAAAGGATAATTAGAAAGATGTCTTTAAAAGTATTTATGTAACTGATACCGCACTGCTTTTGGTTTGACGCATAATTAGATTTAAACACGACTCAAGCAGCATACTTGTTTGGAGAGAGCTGCTTGTTGAAATGTCACTGTGTTGTTCTTAAGCATTGTGAGCTTGGCAAAGTCATTTAGTTGGAGATGGGAGTGGTCTGGGAAGAGCACTGGACTGGGAGCTGAGGGCTGGGTCCTCAGCCGTGGCGGAAGCTGTTGTAGAAGCCTGCCTTGAGGGCTCCTGGGAGCAAGGACGGAGGCTCGGGCTAGTTCTCATTTCTGAAATGTTTTTGCCCAGGGAGGTAACTCTGTATTACAGATGTGCAAACCCAGGCCATGGGTTTTCCTTGGAGCCACATGTACCTGACTGGCAAGGCTGGGCTCAAGCCTGGTGTGCTGACTCTAGAGGGGTTGCACACAACCCTGGAAGTGATGCCACTAGGTCGGTGTGGGAAAATGGCCACCTGTCTTGTAGGGTTGCTACTGCACATATTTGCAGGGCTCCTCCCTGGCAGGTCTCCTGGTGTGCACTGTGTTGAGCTCTCTACTTCCTGGGGGCTGGGAATTCTGTGTTGCTCCAGTTTCACAGTTGATGTTTGCTAAAACACAGACTGCTACAGGACCATGCAGCCTCGGTGGCGTAATAGCGCCCCCCAGGGGTGAAAGCTGGTTTGGGGAGGTTAAAAAAAAATCTGACTTCTAGCCAAGCATAGACAGACAGCCCATGGACAATGTTTCTATAGTGTTAAAATTCCATGAGACCAGCGTTGATGAACAAAGGAAAAGCTGATGTAGTTGAGTTAGAAGGTTGTAAGGGCAGAAGCTGCATATGGACACCATGAACAGGCAATTACTGACCATCTTTATACCTTCACCCCTGTCCTCTGAGGTTCCCGAGTTACTGTGAAAAGAAAAAAACCTGACAACTTGAAGAAGGGTTTAGCTGGTACACAGTTCAAGGGTGTAGTCCATCATGGAGTGGGAAGGCATGGCGGTAGGAACGTGAGGTCACATCACATCCGTGGTCAGGAAGCAGAGCGAGATGAACGCCGGTGCTCATTGCTTCTCCTTCTTATTCAGTCTGGGACCCCAGCCCGTGGGATGGCTTTGCTCACATTCAGGGTGAAATCTTTCTGAAAACACTCTTATCGATACCCCCAGAGCTGTATTTCCATGGTGACCCCAAATTCCATCAATTTGGCAATGATTAACTTTCACACCGTGGTACAGAGGGAAACTGAGGCACGGGGGACAAAGACTTTTCGCCTGGGCCCTCCAGAAGGCTGGGCAGTTGGATGTAATCTGAGTTGACAGGGCTGGGACTCAGCAGGGTGGACTACAGCTTGGCTTCTTTCTGGAGACCCATCACCATGCAGACTCTAGCTCTGTGACCCCCATCACCTTCAGTGTCTATCTCTCCGCAGGGTGGATCCGGTACCTCACGATGCCCCCAAGCCACCTGGCTACACACGCTTTGTCTGTGTTTCTGACACCCACTCGAGGACTGATCCCATTCAGATGCCCTACGGCGACGTGCTGATCCACGCAGGCGACTTCACGGAGCTGGGGCTCCCGAGCGAGGTGAAGAAGTTCAACGAGTGGCTGGGTAGGTCCTGTGTGCTGGCGGTGCAGGGGTGTGGCGCCAAAGCTGCCCTCTCCCAGTCTTTCATTCCTGTTCTGTCCAGCACCTTCTGGGCCTTTGCCTGTCCACCACCTGGGGAGCCTTCCCTGGCCTCTCAGACCAGGTCGTGTCCCTCCCTCCTGTCCCACCAGGGACCTCCCCTTACCAAAACGGGTCTTGACTGTGACTTCCCGTTTGTTTGTGGAAGCTGTCTTTGGCCCTCCCAAAGAGACTTGGCTCACATGTGTTTGGTCCACCTGTGTGTTCGAGTACCTGACAGAGGTAGGTGTTTGCTGAACAACTGGTAAATGAATTAATGGATGAGTGAATGGCTTGGTAAGTGAATGACTGATGTTTTGGGAACGAGGATACTGAGGCAGGGCCTCTGCTGGTACATATATTTGTTCAGCTCAGCCTCCAGTGAGGGGACCCCTGAAGGGCACAGGGACCTGATGTGGTTCCTTCTGTGGGCAACCAGGAGTGCAGGTGACAGAGCCAGGCCCCATGCAAGTGCAATGGTGGGTGGTGGTTTGCAGCTGTCCTTCTAGAGGTTCTTCTTGTTTGTTTTCGTTCCCCTCCAAATTAAAAAAGAGATAAACTTGTGCGCTCCCCGGGGGGAATTCCCTTGCTTTGGAATCTGTGGAAACACCATAGCTAGGCTGCGCTGTCTCTGCCTGGGAGGGCAGATGGGTGGCCCCCAGGTGGCCTGGTGCAGAGGTCTGCTGTCCTGGAGAGGTGGGTACAGCTGACCCACTCCCAAATTCAGCCCCCCTGTGACTGCCAGACAGTCCCTTTGGGTTCCCAGGTTGTCCCGCTGTGCCTGCTGGGTGGGAGCTGTGGAGCAGAGGACCAGTGCGGAGGTGGGTAGCCACACTGGGCAAGAGGCTGGACTCTGCCAATGGAGACAGATATTTACAAGCAAGCCTTCTCCTGTGCTTGGCAGGCTTGGTGCTTTAAATACTGATTTTTCAAGCGGGAAACTCTAATCCAAGCTTGTTTGGGCTAGAACATGTGAAGGCTGGGGTGGGAGAGGGTGGAGCCAACGCCAGTGACAGTCAGGGGCCCCCTGGCCGCTGCTTCCAGCCCTGGGCTGCCTTCTCTCACGGGACTCTGCCCGGGGTGGCTGTTTATCTCTTCTGCTGTGGGTGGTAAACCGGGAGAGGCTCCGTTTGGCTGGAGGGGCCCCCTGGCCGCTGCTTCCAGCCCTGGGCTGCCTTCTCTCACGGGACTTTGCCCGGAGTGGCTGTTTATCTCTTCTGCTGTGGGTGGTAAACCAGGAGAGGCTCCGTTTGGCTGGGCCAGGGTCTGTTTTCAAGGAAGAGCTGCAGTCAACACAGGCTAGACACCTACTGTGTGCCAGGCCCAGTGTGACAGTCTCTTCTCCACTTTGTGGGTGAAAGTGGCGGTGGCCTTGTGTCTTTGAGAGGACAGTTGAGGTTGCCAAGCACCCAATCTGGCCACAGCATGTGCCCATCCACGTGGTTTGAAGACTTAAGCTGAGTGATCTGTTGGTCTGGATCCCTGAGGGACCATAGCATGTGGATGGGCTGTGGCTTTCCCAGGGGAGGGGAGGGCTTCAAGGGAAAACTTGACTTTGAGGCTGAGCCTTGACTGAGGCATTGGGATTCTGCACAGGGTGAGGAGAAGGTTTAGGTGAGGGATTGCTCAAGCCAAGACTGACCAGGGGCTCTTGCATGGCCGACTCCCATTGTGGCTGCAGCGAGGGCACTTGGGGACAGGATAGTGATGATGGATCTGACAGGGACTCTGATTAAGAGGACGACACTCTGAGGAGGCGTTGTGAAAGGCTTCTACCAGCCCCTGTGCAACAGCAGGATGATCAGCTTGGGCCTGGCTGGGGAGGCCAGTGGTGTAATATACTGGATGGCTCAGGAGAACTGCTATTTGCCAGGTTGTTTGTAGGAAAGCATGACCTCCTGAAGGTCCTTCCCGAAGCCTCCTCTCACCTCTGTTCTTGGCTGTCTTGAAGCACTCTGAGGCCAGGGCTGTCACTGGCAGCTGCAGACTGGACAGCCGGGAGCTACCCTCCGTTCTTGATCTGGGGCCAGGAATCTTCAAGCGAGGGGAAATCACAGCCACTTTGTGGACAGATGGACATTGGCAGTTCCACAGGGCAACTGCACAGGGCTGGGCAGTTCCGGTCAGATCCCAGGGCTTAGAGGTCCCAGCTGAGGGATGGGCTGTGTGCTGGTTGGGCACACACAAACCAGGAGTGTTTGTGTGTTTCTTGAGTGTGCGCTCTGTACAAGGCCCTGTTCTGTGCCTTCCGTGTGTAGTATTACACATTTGGTCCCAATGATGTAACGAGGGGGCAACTCTTGTTCTGTTTATAGAGTAGGAAACCAAGGCCCAGAGAAACAAAGAAACTTGTCCACACTCACAGAGCTAGTATGTGGCAGAGCCAGGATTCGAACTCAGGCTGTAGGAGTCTGCGGTGAGGCTCTCTGTTGCATCTCCGGTTCTAAGGAGCAGGGTGTATGGCTTAGGAGATGGTGACCCTGGATGATACTCTGATCCACTTCCTGTGCCGTAAGTTTTTTCTGGACCTCAGTGGCTTCATCTTACATGGTGGTCAGCCTTTGGCCACCTCCAAAGATGGATTTGAGGTTCGCTGTAAATGTGTGTTCACTAATGTGCCTTAGTTTCTGAGTGTTGACGTAAATTCTCAGCTGTCAACCACCCCCACAGACAGCCAGAGAACAGACTGTAAGGAAGTGTTCAATAATCTCTTTGATTTACCTCCTGGGGACTCATAGGGACCAGCAGGCACCAAGCACTGGGGACAGTGGGGAGTGTCAGAGCCCTGTCCAGCCTGATGGTGGGAGATGGCAGCCCTGCAGATGCACAGGGGCGGTAGGAGTTGTAAAAGGCAGGACTCTGCTGAGGACCTCCCTGGGGACCAGGGGACATGGTAGTGTAGACCCTTTAGCTGGGTGCTCATGGCACACCCTGCAGAGGTGATCTTGGACCAGGTCTGAGGGTGAACGTAGGGCAGTTCTGTGCAGAACTGGGGAGGATCATCTGGGCAGAGGGCACAGCCACTGTAAAGGCCCTGGGGTAGGGTAGAGAGCAAGCTCAGTGCCAAGTGAGGAGGGCTGGGGAAGAGTTAGGGTTGATCCTCAACATGATGAGGCTGAGCCTTCCAGAATGCTTAACAGGGGATGTCCCTAAAGTTTTTCAAAGGTTGTTTTGGATGGCAGAGTCAGAGCGGAAGCGTTGAGAGTCTCCGGAAGGTTCCAGAGCCGATGTCTGGGTGGCAGGAGAAGGGGAATTCTTTTCTCTGCCATGGTTTTGACTCCTTCTCCCTGAGCCCTTAAAGGAGGCATGTACACTGTTCCAGTGTCAGGTGAAGGCAGGGCTCACAGTTCTGAGGAGACCTTGCTTCCCGGGTGCCTGGTGCTGTGCGTCCAGGAGGGATGGGCAGCGTGCCTGAGAGTCCTGCTGGTCATCCGGCCATTCCAAGGTCCTCATGAGCCCTTCTCAGCCTGCTAGCTGGGCCCCCTTCTCAGTCCTCGAGCTGAACCCCAGACATGTTCCCTGACTGCTGGTCTCAGGGAAAGCTTTCAAAGTGTCATTTCGGAATAACTCCAGACAGACTTACTTACTTTTGTTATTTCGAGTCAGGGTCTCACTATGTTGTCCTAGCTAGCCCTATTTCCTAATGTAGACTAGTTCCTAATGTAGTTGGAGGCTAGCCTCCAACTTCTAGAGATCCACCAGGCTGGAGAGATGGCTCAGCGGTTAAGAGCACTGACTGTTCTTGCAGAGGACCTGGGTTCAATTCCCAGCACCCACATGGCAGCCACGAACTGCCCTTAACTCCAGTTCCAGGGAAATCCGAAGCCCTTTTCTGTCCTCCGTGGGCATTGCATGACACGGGTGCACTCACATACATGCAGGCAATACACTCGAACACATGGAAAAAAAAAAGAAATGGCTCAGGATTGGAGAGATGCTCAGGTTAAGAGCACGGGCTGCTCTTGCAGAGGATCCAGGTTCAGTTCTCAGCACCCACATGGAAACTAACAAACATCTTTAACTCCAGTTCCAGGGGATCTGAGACCTTCTGCCCTCCATGGGCATTGCAGGACACGGGTACACTTACACACATGCAGGCCCTACACGCATACACATAAAATAAACATAATAAATAATAAAAAAGAAATAGCTAAGGACATATCCTCCAGCTTTAAAGAGTGAAAGAAAAAAAGCCAAACTTGCTGAATGGAGCAAGGAATGTTCTGGAAGGGTCCTTCCTCCGTGGTAGCCAATGCTGTTATCAGCAGACTGTGTGGAGCCCCCAGGCTGGTTGTGGCAGAGTTCCTGGGTGGTGGCACCAGGCTGGAACCTGCTGAGGGTTAGCCCTCCTGTCAGCTCAGCTGTGATGCCCAGGACCCGTGGAAGCCCATGGTCCATGACTGTCAGGTGCCAGCTGGCCTCCTGGCCCTTGGCTGGGGGACACAATGCCTATGGGGACCTCGCTGTCATCCCTAGCTCCAGGTCTCAGCCCCTGCAGTGCCCTGGGGTGGGCAGCAGAGACCATGCACAGCATCCTCCTCCCCGATCTCCCCTCTAGCTCCACTCTGCACATCTGGCACCTGACTGACACCTCTGGGGGACTGGCTCTCTCTCCTGCTCCCTGGGTCTCCCAACTGCCTTCTCCATCACGTCCCTTGTGCCCTGTCCTCCTCCATGAAGGAGGCTCTCTCTCAACCACCTCAATCACAGATGATGCCTCAGCTCTTACCCAGACCGGCAGAATACCCCCCGCTCTCTCCATGGCTAGCGGACAGTCCAGGCTCCCCCCTACCCCAAGGTCCCACCTCACAGGCGTCCCCAGGCCTTCAGGCTTGCTCTGTCCCCGCTTACCTTCCAAAGTTCTGCCCTACCCCTATGCACTGTGTAGCAAGCTGCAGCTGTCCACGTGGCTGCCATCAGTCTCTTCTGGCCTAGGTGTCGTCTGC